TGCTGGGGTGATACTAGGCATTTTGTCCCAAGGTTATCCTAGGCATTTTGTGCTGGGGTGATACTAGGAATTTTGTCCCAGGGTGATACTAGGCATTTTGTCCCAGGGTGATACTAGGCATTTTGTCCTAAGGTGATACTAGGCATTTTGTGCTAGGGTTATACTAGGCATTTTGTGCTGGGATGATACTAGGCATTTTGTGCTTTGGTGATACTAGGCATTTTGTCCTGGGGTGAAAATCATTTTGTGCTGAGGTAATACTAGGCATTTTGTGCTGGAGTGATACTAGGCATTTTGTTCCAGGGTGATACTAAGCATTTTGTGCTGGGGTAATACTAGGCATTTTGTCCCAAGATGATACTAGGCATTTTGTGCCAGGATGATAATTGGCATTTTGTGCTGGGGTGATACTAGGCATTTTGTCCCAAGGTGATACTAGGCATTCTGTGTTGGGGTGATACTAGGCATTTTGTGCTGGGGTGATACTAGGCATTCTGTCCTAGGAAGATAATAGGCATTTTGTCCTTGGGTGATATTAGGCATTCCGTGCTGGGGTGATACTAGGCATTTTTTGCTGGGGTGATACTGTGCACTTTATTCTGGGGTGAAAATCATTTTGTGCTAGGGTGATACTAGGCATTTTGTGCTGTGGTGATATTAGGTATTTTGTGCTGGGTTGATACTAGGCATTTTGTGCTGGGGTGATACTAGGCATTTTGTGCTGGGGTGATAATAATTTTGTGCTGGGGTAATACTATGCATTTTGTCCTGAGGTAATACTAGGCATTTTGTCCCAAGGTGATACTAGGCATTTTGTCCTGGGGTGATAATCATTTTGTGCTGGGGTAATACTAGACATTTTGTGCTGGGGTGATACTAGGCATTTTGTGCTAGGGTGATATTAGGTATTTTCGTGCTTGGGGGATACTAGCCATTTTGTGCTGGGGTGATACTAGGCAGTTTGTGCTGGGGTGATACTAGGTATTTTGTCCTGGGGTGATACTAGGCATTTTATCCCAGGGTGATACTAGCCATTTTGTGCCAAGGTGATACTAGGTATTTTGTGCTGGGGAGATTTTAGGCATTTTGTGCTAGAGTAATAATAGGCATTTTGTCCTTGGGTGATACTAGGCATTTTGTCCTGGGGAGATACTAGGCATTTTGTCCTGGGGAGATACTAGGCATTTTGTGCTGGGGTGATAATAATTTTGTGCTGGGGTAATACTAGGCATTTTGTCCTGAGGTAATACTAGGCATTTTGTGCTGGGGTGATACTAGGCATTTTGTCCCAAGGTGATTCTAGGCATTTTGTCCCAAGGTGATACTAGGCATTTTGTCCTGGGGTGATAATCATTTTGTGCTGGGGTAATACTAGCCATTTTGTGCTGGGGTGATACTAGGCATTTTGTGCTAGGGTGATATTAGGTATTTTCGTGCTGGGATGATACTAGCCATTTTGTGCTGGGGTGATACTAGGCAGTTTGTGCTGGGGTGATACTAGGTATTTTGTCCTGGGGTGATACTAAGCATTTTATCCCAGGGTGATACTAGCCATTTTGTGCCAAGGTGATACTAGGCATTTTGTGCTGGAGAGATTTTAGGCTTTTTGTGCTAGAGTAATAATAGGCATTTTGTCCTTGGGTGATACTAGGCATTTTGTCCTGGGGTGATACTAGGCATTCTGTGCTAGGGTAATAATAGGCATTTTGTCTAGGTGTGATACTGGGCAATTTTTGCTGGGGTGATACTAGGCATTCTGTGCTAGGGTAATAATAGGCATTTTGTCCAGGTGTGATACTAGGCAATTTTTGCTGGGGTGATACTAGGCATTTTGTCCTGGGGTGATCCTAGGCATTTTGTGCTGAGGTGATACAAGACATTTTGTGCTGGGTTGACACTAAACATTTTGTCCTGGGGAGATACTAGGCATTTTGTCCTGGGGAGATACTAGGCATTTTGTCCTGGGGAGATACTAGGCATTTTGTCATTGGGTGATACTAGGCATTTCATACTGGGGTGATACAAGACATTTTGTGCTGGGGTGATACTGGCCATTTTTTGCTACGGTGATACTAGGCATTTTGTGCTGGGGCAATACTAGGCAGTTTGTGCTGGGGTACTAGGCATTTTGTGCTGTGATGATACTAGACATGAACTAACACTTCATTGTTGATCGTCACCTTCCCATCTCTGGTACCTAGCTGTAGAGGCAAAGAAGCACAGGAGAAAAGACAATGGGGAAGAGCAAACATTCTCTGAACACACAAGCCAAGGCATCCCACAGATGATGTCTTTAGCTGAGATGCAAATAAGTGTAGCCAGTAAACACTAAAGATTATACACAGTGAAGCAACCAGAAACAAGCAAGTGTAATCTCAGTCACTACTATTCCTCGCTGGGGTCTTTGCAGTGAAGTGATCAACCTGTGTGCTCCATACTCTCAAGTTGGCTGGCTCCCTGTGGGGGGCCATACATACGGCCAGAAGTTATGCTGAGAAATTCTGGGCCAAATGGGATAAAAGCTGATGCAATCATTTTAACCTGAAATCATCTGCTTCGATCCCTGGTGTAACATAGGACATAGTCAATTCTGTGCACACCTATTGTGTATATTTGAGTGTCATTATTTCCATGTCTTGAAATGTCTAGTGGCTGACATAGCAAACATCCAGCTGCCAATACCCAGTACACATGACAATCTCTCTCTGTACCCCACACATTCCTGTGTAGGCTCCAAGGCCCCCATTTTGGCCTGTGCAAAACAATAGAACCACAACCCCCTAATAAGCACGTCACACAAGGCAATTAAATGGGATCGTTTCCTTCGAAGTCAGAGACTGTCTGTCTGAGAGGATTCAACACTCGGCATTGAAATACGTCAATTGTGTCAAATGGATGTGCATGCAACACTCAAGTTGTGGAACAAGACAAAAGCCTAGAAGTGAACAAACAAGCAAAGGTTTGCCAGAGTTTACAGCTGGTAAAAACTGAGAAGAACACAGCCACACAGAGTGTCAGCCATGAGACAGCAGTGACCTTTCCCCCCTCATTCACTGTTCAAATGATCTGTCTTTGAGTTCAGCCTCCACTGGTGTAGCTTGACTTCTTCTGGACAAGTTCCATCTATGGTAAAAAACTCAATTTATCTAGATACTGTAGGCAGGCAATGGTGACCTGTCAAGCATGCCAGCCTGGGTTGGACAGTAGCAAATGTTGTTGATGTGCACCTAAAGAAGGGAACATTGTTCTTTGTTTATTGAAAGATCATCTTTATTGGACATGAGCATAAGTGCTCCCATCTCCTACTGAGTAGGTCTCCAAATGTTTGTAGGCTAACAACTCGCATTCTGTTCTGGTTGATGTAGCAACTGGTGGCTCCCACATTGTTTTCCTGTCTGGCTGCTCCTGGTACACCCATAGTATGCAGTCTATTCAGTAAAAAAAATCATTTTCTTTGAAAATGAAAGCCTCACAGCATTTAGTCTCTCATATGGCATTGATTATGGCACTCTTGTCCATAGAGCGCCCATTCCTGCCAGAGAGTGCATCTGCTCTCTCACTGCCTTTCATACCAGCATAACCGCAGACATATACGAGGGTGATCTTGCGACTAACAGCCTTTTTTGACCACAGATGGCAGCCATAAATCTCATTGCAGCCAAGCCCTGTGTGGCCTTGTTGATCCTAAAATCAGCTTGGAATCTGCAGCCAAAACTCACTCCCAGGTATTTTAAAAGTTCACTCCTTGCTATCTCTTCACCATTCAAATACACAGAGGGCGTTATTGTGAGTTTATGTGACAGTTCAAAGAAAACCAAGTTGCAGTCGCTTCTGCAGGGTTGATCTGTGCTCTAGGTTTGACACCCATCTGCTATGCGTCCCAGTTCCTTCTGGAGTTCTACAATTCTGCCACTGTTCTTGCCTTGGCTGTACACCAGTATGTCATCAGCGTATGAGAGTGTTCTTTCTTCACCTGGGATCTGATATTTTATTACCTCTATGGTGAAAATATTGAAGAGGACTGGGGTTAAAGGTGATCCCTGAGGTAACCCTGAGTGAATGGTTTTAAACTCAGAGATCCATCTCCCACAACTTGAAAATAACCTATCTCTTGAAGAGTGCTGCTGCTATCCATTTAATGAGTACTGGGGACATGTTTCTAATTAGGAGCTGGTGTAATTAGGAGCTGGTGTAATTAGCAGCTGGTGTAATTAGGAGCTGGCGTGTGAGTTTTTCAAAAGGCACCTTGTTGTATGCATCTTTAGCGTCACAGCACATATTTCTACTGCTGCATAGAAACCTTCCTATAAATTGTACGCAGAAACTGCAGCATTAGTCCACGTATCCCTGTGTGGGCTATATCCTCCCAGTATTGATGGTAGTCTACCTGTTTGTTCTCATTTATCAGTAATTGTCCTTGTCACTTTTTTCTAGCAGTTTTCCAATGGTGTTTTGCATACTGATAATTCGGTAGCTGCTTAGAGAAGATGGTTCTTTGCCAGGCTTGGGCAAAGGTGTTAAATAACTGTGAAGCCATGTTTCATTTACTGTGCCTGTCCTTATGCTTTGTTGTATTCACAGCACAGTTCTGATAGTTCCTCCTCAGTTACTTTAGAAAAGTCATCCTAGCGGACTGTCTGGATCCAGAGCTGTTTTTTTTTTTATTGTTGAAAGGTGTCTATTATTTCATCTACAGCGGTACAGAGCTCTTCTTCAGGAGTAAGTTTTACAAAGATCTTTCAATGCTTCCTTCACATTTGTGCGACTTTCATTATCAGTCTGGTTTGTTTGCTGCTAATATCGGTCAGAAAGTAATAGGCCTTTGCTTTCATCCATTCTATGCCACCTACCATCATGTTCCTGAAAGTCAGACAAGTTTTATTGTTGTGGCATACCAGTCATAGACTGCTGTAGCTTCAGTGATTTTACAGGACCTAATTTCTCACAGAAGTTTGTCCCTTTTTGCTCCGCCATTCAACAGGGAACAGAACTGAGCTTACCTTGAGGCAGAGAGTTCCAGGCGATGGTATCTGTGATAGCTGTGAACACCCAGTTGAGCTCGCCAAGCATGGTCCTCCTATCACTCAGCTGTCCTGGTATCCTGTCAGACAAGAGAAAAAGTTCCTTAACTGATCACACAGAATAAACAAAGACACGGACAAGACAACAATGTTTACGGATATGCAAGATAAAACACTGGGGTTATGGATAAATGTCATGGATTCAAAGGATAAAACGTGCATGTCACTATAACACAGAAAAATTATAATTTATATCGGTAAATCTGAATATGGAAGAGCTGGAACCCTAATTCAATTTTTAAAAATTTAAAAAAAGAAGAAATCACCAGGGAAGGATGAGATCACCAATGAAACGATAATAGGACGGTTCATTCATTCATTCAGTAGCATGTCCCTCGCGGAACCTCGCTGCCATAACAACCCTCTGGAAAACCTTCCTATCCTGAGCAAGATGTCCTGCGTCTGATACACCCATCTGGAGATCATCTGCCACATCCTGCACCCATCTTCTCCTTGGCCTTCCTCTTCCTCTCTTCCCAGGCATATACCCCTTCATTATTGTTCTCTCTAGACTTCCATGACGTTTCAAGTGACCAAAATATTTCAATTTTCTTTGTTTTATTGTCTTTACTAGCCAACCCTCTTCAATATTCAGTTCTTGAAGTATGGATGCATTTGTTCTTTTCTTTACCCAAGATATTCTTAGAACCTGTCTGTAACATTTATATTCAAATGCATTTATGCGCTGTTCCGCTTGTTTAGTAAGTGTCCAGGTCTCACAGGCGTATGTTATAATAGGACGGTACTAAGACAAAAAGGTAATTGCTAGCAGTCTTTAACTGAAGCTGGAAGAGAAAACTAGTCCCTGAGGCTAGGGCATGGAAGGAAGCTTTGCTCATACCAGTCCAGAAGAAGAGAAAACTAGTCCCTGAGGCTAGGGCATGGAAGGAAGCTTTGCTCATACCAGTCCAGAAGAAGAGAAAACTAGTCCCTGAGGCTAGGGCATGGAAGGAAGCTTTGCTCATACCAGTCCAGAAGAAGAGAAAACTAGTCCCTGAGGCTAGGGCATGGAAGGAAGCTTTGCTCATACCAGTCCAGAAGAAGAGAAAAACTAGTCCCTGAGGCTAGGGCATGGAAGGAAGCTTTGCTCATACCAGTCCAGAAGAAGAGAAAACTAGTCCCTGAGGCTAGGGCATGGAAGGAAGCTTTGCTCATACCAGTCCAGAAGAAAAGAAATCAGCCTGTACCATCAACCAATCAGCTTACTTAGCTGTGAAAGGAAAATGATGGAACACATTATAAATAAAAGATTAATAGGGCATTTAGAAGAAAAGCGCCTACTAATTCCACAAGAGGCAGGATTCAGAAAGTACCGATCCAATGAAGATCAAACAACATATATAGCCCAGGAAATAGAGGATGCCTTCAAAGAGAAAAAACAAATTAGCAGCCTGGGTAACCTTAGAAAAAGCATTTGATAAAGTCTGGAAGACAACTGGATCATAAGACCTTGAGAAGAGAACTACCAGGACAAAAGTACAAGGACAAACTAGGCCCAACAAAATGGTGTTAGAGCAAGGTAAACCCCAAGGGGAAGTAATAGCACAAACATTGTTCTTAGCAAAAACAAATGACATTTCAAATAATTTTCCAGCCAGAGTTCACATCTAGTTCTTTGCAGGGACTTAACTATATGGATTAGCCACACACAAAATATTAGTATAGCTAATAACAGGATGAAGCAAGCCTTATCAGTGTTGCAGAAATGGTCAAAAAAAACAAACACAACTAGTGAATATCAGTAAAGAGAAAAGACAGTAACAGTTCTCCCTCTCAGATCAAAAACAGCCAGGTAGAGCCAAGTGGAACAAGAGCAAGGAAAAGAATGACAATCATGAAAAAGCTTGCAGGTACAAAATGGGGAGCTGATGAGAAAGTTTTCAAGAAACTATATACTTGATGAGTAAGTCCAGTCCTTGAATACAGCAAGGGCAAAAACAAGGAATGCCGAATATAACTGGGGCTATGAAAACACACACCTATTAATGAGCTAGAAAATATCTCATGTCTACAACTAATGAAGGATAGCAGAGACAGCAGAATCCAGCAAAAATCAGAACAATTTAGAAGGCTGACAGATCACAGAATATATCAATGGTTTAATGGTCTCAGTAGGTGAAGAAAGGGGGGGAAAAAACTTTACAACATACCAACATCCAAACCTGTCCACATTACACACAGGCTCCCATGCTTGCAGACAATACCCAAGTAAAATCTAGACTTGTGCATATACAGATGGATCAGCAAAAAAACTGAACAGAAAATGGGGGCGGTGGAATTGTCCTAAATTTAAAAAATGGATCAAAGAAAACAAAGTCAGTTGCAACCAGAAAATTCTCATGTAATTTTAAAGCAGAGTATTAAGAACTTACTAAGAACTGCAGCAGAAATGTTTCTGTCAGAGAACAATATACAAAAACAAATAGCTATCTTCAAAGATGCAAAGTCAGTCGCCACCGTACTGAAAAGCAAAAACAATACAGAACTAGAAGACCTTAGAGTTGCACTCCATGGACTGAGTCTGAAATCAAAAAGAGTTATAGTACCATAGATGCCATCCTATTACAACATGCATGGAGATGAAAAGGCCAACAGATTGGCAAAGAAAGGTGGAAGACTACCCCAGCCTGATAAAGACATAAAATATGATGAGGCCAAGAGGTTTTTAAAAAGTAACTATAGTACCAAATGGCATTCTGAACATCCAGACCACAAACAGGGTGATGCTTACTACCAACTTGGCCGAATAGAGTAAGTAGTGATCTTTAGACTTTGCACAGGACATAAAAGCCTGAAATACCATTTGCTCAATAAGCTAAAGATAGGAGACAAATGATGTCTGTGACTGTGGAAAAGGTAAAATGATGGCTGAACACTTGCTGCAAGGGTGTCCAATATATGCAAAACAGAGAAAATTATCCTGGCTAACACCCACTCCTTTTGAACACAAACTGTGAAGATCTTAAGCTGACTGCTGATTTCTTTAAATATATTCACACTGACATTTAAAGGTATATGAAGAAGAAAACTGTCCGGAATTCTTGAGGCTGATTATTCCCTGAGATGTAAAGTTCATAAACCATGACATGGGAAGACAATGAAACAGACCCATACTGTCATTCTAGATGTGGGAAATGTCATATAAAACTGTAAGTCCACTGCAGTAAAAGTAACATGCAAAAGAAGCAAAGAACTCATTCTGTGTAGGTAATCAAAGTCCCAGGCTGCCTAATGTTGGCTTCCAAAGATACAGAGACCATGATGTATGAGATGTTCAGTATATGGAAAAGGACGAAAAGTCATGGGCAGACGTGACGATTTCTTGGGTGAGCCCAGTGCCAGAGCACCATGCACTGGCTCTGCATTTATAGAAGCTCCTTGTATGGCGGGCAATAATGTTCTGCCCCTGCCTCTGCTTCTCTGGACCGGCCTGATTTGTGGCAGCACCTGTGGCCTGAGAAGCAAAGACGACCACACAACAATGAGACTACAATGTCCCATGAAACTAACCGGGAAGGTTAAACCCGGTCAAAAATGCCCACAGAAGTCGGATGTGTTGGCCGAAAGGTGGGAATATTGCAGGAATGATGTAAACGGGCACAGCGCAATTACATCTTCGGATGCATGCAGAAAAAGAAGGGAAAAATACTTGGATTCTGGAAACAATGTCATGAATTCACCCCCCAAAAAAAATACTGGAATTGTGGAGACACTGTCGTGGGTTTGCAAAATGCAATACTGGAATTATGCAGACAACTTTCACCGATTCACAAGATTAAATGCTGGAATTATGCAGACAACTTTCACCGATTAACAAGATTAAATGCTGGAATTATGCAGACAACTTTCACCGATTCACAAGATTAAATGCTGGAATTATGCAGACAACTTTCACCGATTCACAAGATTAAATGCTGGAATTGTGGAGACAACTTTCACTGATTCACAAGATCAAATGCTGGAATTATGCAGACAACTTTCACTGATTCACAAGATTAAATGCTGGAATTATGCAGACAACTTTCACTGATTCACAAGATTAAATACTGGAATTATGCAGACAACTTTCACCGATTCACAAGATTAAATGCTGGAATTATGCAGACAACTTTCACCGATTCACAAGATTAAATGCTGGAATTATGCAGACAACTTTCACCGATTCACAAGATTAAATGCTGGAATTATGCAGACAACTTTCACATATTCACAAGATTAAATGCTGGAATTGTGGAGACAACTTTCACTGATTCACAAGATTAAATGCTGGAATTGTGGAGACACCTTTCACAGATTCACAAGATTAAATGCTGGAATTATGCAGACAACTTTCACCGATTCACAAGATTAAATGCTGGAATTATGCAGACAACTTTCACCGATTCACAAGATTAAATGCTGGAATTATGCAGACAACTTTCACAGATTCACAAGATTAAATGCTGGAATTATGCAGACAACTTTCACCGATTCACAAGATTAAATGCTGGAATTATGCAGACAACTTTCACCGATTCACAAGATTAAATGCTGGAATTGTGGAGACAACTTTCACTGATTCACAAGATTAAATACTGGAATTATGCAGACAACTTTCACCGATTCACAAGATTAAATGCTGGAATTGTGGAGACAACTTTCACAGATTCACAAGATTAAATGCTGGAATTATGCAGACAACTTTCACTGATTCACAAGATTAAATGCTGGAATTATGCAGACAACTTTCACTGATTCACAAGATTAAATGCTTGAATTATGCAGACAACTTTCACCGATTCACAAGATTAAATACTGGAATTATGCAGACAACTTTCACAGATTCACAAGATTAAATGCTGGAATTATGCAGACAACTTTCACATATTCACAAGATTAAATGCTGGAATTATGCAGACAACTTTCACTGATTCACAAGATTAAATGCTGGAATTGTGGAGACACCTTTCACAGATTCACAAGATTAAATGCTGGAATTATGCAGACAACTTTTACCGATTCACAAGATTAAATGCTGGAATTATGCAGACAACTTTCACCGATTCACAAGATTAAATGCTGGAATTATGCAGACAACTTTCACAGATTCACAAGATTAAATGCTGGAATTATGCAGACAACTTTCACTGATTCACAAGATTAAATGCTGGAATTATGCAGACAACTTTCACTGATTCACAAGATTAAATGCTGGAATTATGCAGACAACTTTCACAGATTCACAAGATTAAATGCTGGAATTATGCAGACAACTTTCACCGATTCACAAGATTAAATGCTGGAATTGTGGAGAAAACACTGACTAATTCATAAAGATAAAATACTGGAATTATGGGTACACTTTCATGGAGTCACATACAAAAATAATGGACATATAAAGATAACTTTCACCCATTAATTTATCAGGAAAAAATCTAGAGATAGTGAGAAAACTTCATGGATTCATAGGATAAAATAAAAGAGTTTAGAAAAGAAATATTTTATGGATTTATGAGATCAAAGAGAATAGCAAAATGTGAGGATAATTTGGTCTCCAGTGAAATCAGTGTTCCGTACAGCAACATACCTGTATTAATGTGATAACAGTCATGGGGATGTCACACCAACAAAGCAACAAACAGTGGATCTTAGTTTCAATACACAGAGACTCACTTGTCAACCATGTCCAGTGTCAAGCCAGGAACCAGGCTTCGATTGTGCAATACATACCTGGCATTGACAAATTCAAGAGCAATGTATCAGTCACAGTGACAATAGAAGACGTTAGTTCTATTAACCTGGCTTAATTACAGTTTTATACAATATATATATATAGATATATACAACATCATACCTAACTAAAGTGCTCAATATAAACCTCAAGAATAATACTGAATGTCTCTGGTTAAACATGCTATAGAAACAATTTAATCAATTAGACAAGCCTAACATTTGATACATACATTTTTAAACATTTTTTACGATCTGGTTAGTTGCGTATCCTTTACAGGACGTTGCAGAACCAACCACAATAACCCCTGGCTGTTGTGTTGTTTCTCTAGGCAAATTTATGTCTAGTAGTTTGCCCTTGCTTTCTGGAGGGTCGGCTTTCTTGATACCACTGTTGAAACCAACGCAAGGCTTGCAGCAGGGATCAAACCCGGGATCCCGGCATACCGAAGCGTTCACATTAACTTAGCCACAGAGCCAACTACTTTCACTATATGATAAAATATTTATTAAAAATCATTTTTTACATCAAAAAGGAATGATGTAAACATGGGGCATATCAACATAACAGGCAGACTGAGAAATTAGCCTGTGTGAGGGAGGCAGAGTAAGACAGAAATATATTTGTGGAAAGCTTAAACAGCTGTGCAACAAATAGAAAAATAAGCAAAATTGGCTCCATCAAAACATCAGATGATAGAGAAGATTGGAGAGTCATGATTGCAAGTGTCTGCTCTAGACCAGGCATGTTGGGGGAAAAAATGTAGGAAAAGAAAATGAAGCATGCATAAACAGTGAGAGATAAACACAAATTAATTACCACATCAAGACAACACAACACAAAGATCTTAACAATAAGTCATTGTAACCACTGAAAGTGACTAGAAAGTGAACACTTAACAAATAAAATCTGAAAGGGGAAAAAAAAGAGCCTTTAATGAGAATAAAGGCAATCAGTGTACAATGGAAACAGGCAATATAAAAACTAAAAGTCAGAGAATCAAAGATAACCGATAGAAACAGGCAATATAAAACTAAAAGTCAGAGAATCAAAGATAACCGATGGAAACAGGCAATATAAAACTAAAAGTCAGAGAATCAAAGATAACCGATGGAAACAGGCAATATAAAACTAAAATCAGAGAATCAAAGATAACCGATGGAAACAGGCAATATAAAACTAAAAATCAGAGAATCAAAGATAACCGATGGAAACAGGCAATATAAAACTAAAAATCAGAGAATCAAAGATAACCGATGGAAACAGGCAATATAAAACAAAGTCAGAGAATCAAAGATAACCGATGGAAACAGGCAATATAAAACTAAAAGTCTGAGAATCAAAGATAACCGATGGAAACAGGCAATATAAAACTAAAAGTCAGAGAATCAAATATAGCCGATGGAAACAGGCAATATAAAACTAAAAGTCAGAGAATCAAAGATAACCGATGGAAACAGGCAATATAAACCTTAAAGTCAGAGAATCAAAAATAACCGATGGAAACAGGCAATATAAAACCAAAAGTCAGAGAATCAAATTTAACCGATGGAAACAGGCAATATAAAACCAAAATAGTAAGAGAATCAAAGATAACCGATGGAAACAGGAACCCTAGAGACAGCACAGAAGGACATCCAAGCAAAGGCAGCATTTAACCACATGATATATATTCTGTTTAACACTTCCGTGTCAATGGAAGTGAGAAACAGGGTTTTAGGATACCATATACTGCTCATACAGGTACAGCCGTGTATCTGTGAACCAAAGACCTTGAAAACCAGAAGCAGACGAACTAAAAGCCACAGAGCGATACAGATGTAAGTTAAATAAACTGTTATGTACTGACTGGTGCTCATACATCAACTGTTTTGTACTGACTGGTGCTCATACATCAACTGTTATGTGCTGACTGGTGCTCATACATCAACTGTTTTGTATTGACTGGTGCTCTTACATTAACTGTTATGTGCTGACTGGTGCTCATACATTTAACTGTTTTGTACTGACTGGTGCTCTTACATCAACTGTTATGTACTGACTGGTGCTCATACATGAAGCAGAAACTAGAAGCCACAGAGTGAATCAGATGTAAGTTAAAATAAACTGTTATGTGCTGACTGCTGCTCATACATCAACTGGTGCTCATACATCAACTGTTATGTACCTCCTGGTGCTCATACATAAACTGTTATGTACTGACTGGTGCTCATACATCAACTGTTATGTACTGACTGGTGCTCATACATCAACTGTTATGTACTGACTGGTGCTCATACATCAACTGTTATGTACTGACTGGTGCTCATACATCAACTGTTATGTACTGACTGGTGCTCATACATTAACTGTTATGTACTGACTGGTGCTCATACATCAACTGTTATGTACTGACTGGTGCTCATACATCAACTGTTATGTACTGACTGGTGCTCATACATCAACTGTTATGTACTGACTAGTGCTCATACATCAACTGTTATGTACTGACTGGTGCTCATACATGAAGCAGAAAGAAACAGAGAAGGCTGGCCAGAGTTACCACATCAGGGATCTAACCAAAAGCCACCTGTAATGATGATAGCACCTTACTGAAGGAAAAAGTGTACTCTGATGCAGGGACAATCAAACATTACAACAAAATGTGGCATTATTAGCAAGGTCTATTATATACCTAAACAAACAACTGGAATATAGACACAATTTGTATCCAACAGTTAACATAAATTTACATTAACCAGCACAGGTCAAATAAACAAATACATCCAAGGACAAAACTAGGTCGGGTATGCAACAAATACTTGAAGAAAAGACACAGTATGTTTCTGTGGAGAATGTTCAGAATATCAATGACTTAGATGACCAATATCCAAAAGAACATGAAGTAATAAAGATGAATGCTTACTCAAATTAGAGAAAGACAATCACCACTGTCTGGTTGTTATGAGAAGAAAGAATCTAGAGAGGATTTCAACAATCAGGAAGAATAAAGGCATTGTAGACATTTAGAGGAAATACTGGAAGGGGGAGGGGGAGGATAAGGGCAGAGATGATCAAAGTCAAATCAAGCAAGCACACAGAAAACATGGCAAGGTGCACAATGATGGTCTCAAAGAACACAGTGAACCTATAAACACAGCTGCTGGCTCACAGGCAGAGACCTGAGTTGGCAGTAGTATAAACACAGCTGCTGGCTGACAGGCAGAGACCTGAGTTGGCAGTAGTATAAACACAGCTGCTGGCTCACAGGCAGAGACCTGAGTCGGCAGTAGTATAAACACAGCTGCTGGCTGACAGGCAGAGACCTGAGTCGGCAGTAGTATAAACACAGCTGCTGGCTCACAGGCAGAGACCTGAGTCGGCAGTAGTATAAACACAGCTGCTGGCTCATAGGCAGAGACCTGAGTCGGCAGTAGTATAAACACAGCTGCTGGCTGACAGGCAGAGACCTGACTCGGAAGTAGTATAAACACAGCTGCTGGCTGACAGGCAGAGACCTGAGTCGGCAGTAGTATAAACACAGCTGCTGGCTGACAGGCAGAGACCTGAGTCGGCAGTAGTATAAACACAGCTGCTGGCTCACAGGCAGAGACCTGAGTCGGCAGTAGTATAAACACAGCTGCTGGCTCACAGGCAGAGACCTGAGTCGGCAGTAGTATTAACACAGCTGCTGGCTGACAGGCAGAGACCTGAGTCGGCAGTAGTATAAACACAGCTGCTGGCTGACAGGCAGAGACCTGAGTCGGCAGTAGTATTAACACAGCTGCTGGCTCACAGGCAGAGACCTGAGTCGGCAGTAGTATAAACACAGCTGCTGGCTGACAGGCAGAGACCTGAGTAGGCAGTAGTATAAACACAGCTGCTGGCTCACAAGCAGAGACCTGAGTCGGCAGTAGTATAAACACAGCTGCTGGCTCACAGGCAGAGACCTGAGTCCGCAGTAGTATAAACACAGCTGCTGGCTGACAGGCAGAGACCTGAGTTGGCAGTAGTATAAACACAGCTGCTGGCTCACAGGCAGAGACCTGAGTCGGCAGTAGTATAAACACAGCTGCTGGCTGACAGGCAGAGACCTGAGTCGGCAGTAGTATAAACACAGCTGCTGGCTCACAGGCAGAGACCTGAGTCGGCAGTAGTATAAACACAGCTGCTGGCTCATAGGCAGAGACCTGAGTCGGCAGTAGTATAAACACAGCTGCTGGCTGACAGGCAGAGACCTGACTCGGAAGTAGTATAAACACAGCTGCTGGCTCACAGGCAGAGACCTGAGTCGGCAGTAGTATAAACACAGCTGCTGGCTGACAGGCAGAGACCTGAGTCGGCAGTAGTATAAACACAGCTGCTGGCTCACAGGCAGAGACCTGAGTCGGCAGTAGTATAAACACAGCTGCTGGCTCACAGGCAGAGACCTGAGTCGGCAGTAGTATTAACACAGCTGCTGGCTGACAGGCAGAGACCTGAGTCGGCAGTAGTATAAACACAGCTGCTGGCTGACAGGCAGAGACCTGAGTCGGCAGTAGTATTAACACAGCTGCTGGCTCACAGGCAGAGACCTGAGTCGGCAGTAGTATGGCTGACAGGCAGAGACCTGAGTAGGCAGTAGTATAAACACAGCTGCTGGCTCACAAGCAGAGACCTGAGTCGGCAGTAGTATAAACACAGCTGCTGGCTCACAGGCAGAGACCTGAGTCGGCAGTAGTATAAACACAGCTGCTGGCTCACAGAGACCTGAGTAGGCAGTAGTATAAACACAGCTGCTGGCTCATAGGCAGAGACCTGACTCGGCAGCAGTATAAACACAGCTGCTGGCTCACAAGCAGAGACCTGAGTCGGCAGTAGTATAAACACAGCTGCTGGCTGACAGGCAGAGACCTGAGTAGGCAGTAGTATAAACACAGCTGCTGGCTCACAAGCAGAGACCTGAGTCGGCAGTAGTATAAACACAGCTGCTGGCTCACAAGCAGAGACCTGAGTCCGCAGTAGTATAAACACAGCTGCTGGCTGACAGGCAGAGAGCTGACTCGGAAGTAGTATAAACACAGCTGCTGGCTCACAAGCAGAGACCTGAGTCGGCAGTAGTATAAACACAGCTGCTGGCTGACAGGCAGAGACCTGACTCGGAAGTAGTATAAACACAGCTGATGGCTCACAGGCAGAGACCTGAGTAGGCAGTAGTATAAACACAGCTGCTGGCTCACAGGCAGAGACCTGAGTCGGCAGAAATCAATGAACATACCATCTGAGTGCAACTTTGATAGGTGTAGTCAAGCATGAGGTGAAGAGGTCAGCAGGTAGGTCAGGGTTCATGGGTAAATGTTCTGTTGGACCACAGGCCGCCAGAATGATGCTGTTCTTAATACTGGATGGAGCACTTTGCTCTGTGTTTGTCTGTCCTGGGGTCTGGCAAGTAGAGCAATGACAGGTGTTACTTCAATACAATATGTGAATTCTGGAAAACAAATCACTGCATGAGATACCTGTCACAGATATCAAGTTCTAAGTCTACAGCCTTCTTTAAAATCCTAGTAGCTAACACCAACAAGCTTTACAATTACCAAAATACAGGTTGCAGATAACAATCATCTTTGTCCATCTGCAAATGTAATTGTGTTGTGCCCATTTACAACACAGGTGCAGTAATTACACCTTCAGCTGAGGGATTCAACTTCATTTGTTATCCAGGGTAGCCTTTTCAGTAAGTTTTGTTTGTGTCATCATCTTCGCTACCTAATCCACAGGTGCTGGCTCCCCCCCCCTCCCCCCACCTAGTCCAGTGTAGCCTTCTCAGTAAGTTTTGTTTGTGTCATCATCTTCGCTACCTAATCCACAGGTGCTGGCTCCCCCCCCCCCCCCCCCCCACCTAGTCCAGGGTAGCCTTCTCAGTAAGTTTTGTTTGTGTCATCATCTTCGCTACCTAATCCACAGGTGCAGGTTCCCTCCCCCTCCCCCCACCTAGTCCAGGGTAGCCTTCTCAGTAAGTTTTGTTTGTGTCATCATCTTCGCTACCTAATCCACAGGGGCAGGTTCCCTCCCCCCCCCCCTCCCCCATCCTATTCCAGGTTAGCCTTCTCAGTAAGTTTTGTTTGTGTCATCATCTTCGCTACCTAATCCACAGGTGCAGGTTCCCTCCCCTCCCCCCCCCCCTCCCGCCATCTGCCTAGTCCAGGGTAGCCAAACAATGCTGGTCAGCCCTTAAGAGAACACAAGGGCAGAAAAATGAGCATTCCCCACCCTCAGGAGGCTTCCCTTCAATGCTGCTCTGATACTGGCTCACGCAAGGAATCAAGTCCCGCTCATGGCTGCTGCTGCTGCTTCTTAGCGTTGACCACCTGTAAACTAGTGAAAGGTTCTGGCTGTTCATTCTTCTTCTGCCTTTGGTCTTGTTACAGAATTTCCATGTTGGTTTTTCAGATCTAGCTTATTTGTATGTAAGACTTTTGGTTCAGATGCACTCCAAGATGGGGCCCCGAAACCCACACTGGGACACAACTACTTAATATCACTTCTGTATATCCAACTCACTGTGGGCTGCATTGTTTAGCTCGGCATGTCACAACTGTTTTAGCCAAGGCTACTGACACAACTGCTTAATATCACTTCTGTATATCCAACTCACTGTGGGCTGCATTGTTTAGCTCGGCATGTCACAACTGTTTTAGCCAAGGCTACTGACACAACTGCTTAATATCACTTCTGTATATCCAACTCACTGTGGGCTGCATTGTTTAGCTCGGCATGTCACAACTGTTTTAGCCAAGGCTACTGACACAACTGCTTAATATCACTTCTGTATATCCAACTCACTGTGGGCTGCATTGTTTAGCTCGGCATGTCACAACTGTTTTAGCCAAGGCTACTGACACAACTGCTTAATATCACTTCTGTATATCCAACTCACTGTGGGCTGCATTGTTTAGCTCGGCATGTCACAACTGTTTTAGCCAAGGCTACTGACACAACTGCTTAATATCACTTCTGTATATCCAACTCACTGTGGGCTGCATTGTTTAGCTCGGCATGTCACAACTGTTTTAGCCAAGGCTACTGACACAACTGCTTAATATCACTTCTGTATATCCAACTCACTGTGGGCTGCATTGTTTAGCTCGGCATGTCACAACTGTTTTAGCCAAGGCTACTGACACAACTGCTTAATATCACTTCTGTATATCCAACTCACTGTGGGCTGCATTGTTTAGCTCGGCATGTCACAACTGTTTTAGCCAAGGCTACTGACACAACTGCTTAATATCACTTCTGTATATCCAACTCACTGTGGGCTGCATTGTTTAGCTCGGCATGTCACAACTGTTTTAGCCAAGGCTACTGACACAATTGCTTAATATCACTTCTGTATATCCAACTCACTGTGGGCTGCATTGTTTAGCTCGGCATGTCACAACTGTTTTAGCCAAGGCTACTGACACAACTGCTTAATATCACTTCTGTATATCCAACTCACTGTGGGCTGCATTGTTTAGCTCGGCATGTCACAACTGTTTTAGCCAAGGCTACTGACACAACTGCTTAATATCACTTCTGTATATCCAACTCACTGTGGGCTGCATTGTTTAGCTCGGCATGTCACAACTGTTTTAGCCAAGGCTACTGACACAACTGCTTAATATCACTTCTGTATATCCAACTCACTGTGGGCTGCATTGTTTAGCTCGGCATGTCACAACTGTTTTAGCCAAGGCTACTGACACAACTGCTTAATATCACTTCTGTATATCCAACTCACTGTGGGCTGCATTGTTTAGCTCGGCATGTCACAACTGTTTTAGCCAAGGCTACTGACACAACTGCTTAATATCACTTCTGTATATCCAACTCACTGTGGGCTGCATTGTTTAGCTCGGCATGTCACAACTGTTTTAGCCAAGGCTACTGACACAACTGCTTAATATCACTTCTGTATATCCAACTCACTGTGGGCTGCATTGTTTAGCTCGGCATGTCACAACTGTTTTAGCCAAGGCTACTGACACAACTGCTTAATATCACTTCTGTATATCCAACTCACTGTGGGCTGCATTGTTTAGCTCGGCATGTCACAACTGTTTTAGCCAAGGCTACTGACACAACTGCTTAATATCACTTCTGTATATCCAACTCACTGTGGGCTGCATTGTTTAGCTCGGCATGTCACAACTGTTTTAGCCAAGGCTACTGACACAACTGCTTAATATCACTTCTGTATATCCAACTCACTGTGGGCTGCATTGTTTAGCTCGGCATGTCACAACTGTTTTAGCCAAGGCTACTGACACAACTGCTTAATATCACTTCTGTATATCCAACTCACTGTGGGCTGCATTGTTTAGCTCGGCATGTCACAACTGTTTTAGCCAAGGCTACTGACACAACTGCTTAATATCACTTCTGTATATCCAACTCACTGTGGGCTGCATTGTTTAGCTCGGCATGTCACAACTGTTTTAGCCAAGGCTACTGACACAACTGCTTAATATCACTTCTGTATATCCAACTCACTGTGGGCTGCATTGTTTAGCTCGGCATGTCACAACTGTTTTAGCCAAGGCTACTGACACAACTGCTTAATATCACTTCTGTATATCCAACTCACTGTGGGCTGCATTGTTTAGCTCGGCATGTCACAACTGTTTTAGCCAAGGCTACTGACACAACTGCTTAATATCACTTCTGTATATCCAACTCACTGTGGGCTGCATTGTTTAGCTCGGCATGTCACAACTTTTAGCCAAGGCTACTGACACAACTGCTTAATATCACTTCTGTATATCCAACTCACTGTGGGCTGCATTGTTTAGCTCGGCATGTCACAACTGTTTTAGCCAAGGCTACTGACACAACTGCTTAATATCACTTCTGTATATCCAACTCACTGTGGGCTGCATTGTTTAGCTCGGCATGTCACAACTGTTTTAGCCAAGGGTACTGACACAACAAAATTGCTCAGACGCCCCCCCCCCCCCCCCAATTTTGTACCCATGAAAAATGACAGATGAGGGAGCAGCAAGAGCCTTGTTTCTTTTTCTTCTTACAATCACAAGCTGTAAACTACAGCAGAAAGTTCTGGTGGTTCATCCACTTCTGGGCTGTAGTCCTGTTCCAGAACCTGGGTGTTGTGTGCGCATCTGTTTTACAGATCTAACTCGTTTGTATGCACTGTTGGTTCCTTGCCTTTTAGGCGGAAGCACTCCAACTCCAAAGGAAGCTCCCAATCCGTCGACTCTATACAATATGCTTCTGGGTAGGCAGTGGGTCTATTCTTGTTTTCCCTACAATAGGGTCCTAGAGATTACACTGGGAACAAGCCTTGTTCAAGTGTTGAGTAATAATTATGTGCTATAGCAAATAAATGTAATAAATATAATAATATACTTGCAATCATATGAACTGTGTAAACAAATACTTCAAAAGAAACATTTTACATGGTTGACAGAGTATTGTGTCCCCTAGGCAATCTTATAGGGAGAAGGGGTGGGACTCAGGTAGCCTAAATATTAAAAGGGAGGGAGGGGAACTGCTGAGGCAGAAGAGAGATCATTTTTAAGACATGCTGTGGGAAGAGAAAAAATAGAACATGTTGTGACCACTGTAAAGATTTGTGGAAAAAGAGATAAAGGAAGACAAGACAACAAGTTTCTTGACAGCCTTTTGTCATAACACAAAGGGGTGTCAGCACATGAACAGCCTATTGTCATGGCACAGAGGGTTGCTGAAGATCACTGGCCATGGAGAGGCATGATCACCCATGCCAGTCGGCAAGGCACTTGTTGATGATGATGATAAATGTAGGTTAGTAAATAGTAAATATGAACAGAGCAGAGAGAGAACTAAATGGATGGGGGTGAAACAACGGACACCTACTTGGTCAATGATTCTGATATGAGATGGTAAAAAATGACTGAAAAAATGACACTCAACCTATGCTTATCGACAGTTTTTTTTTTTTTTAACTTAAACTTACACTGTGAGTGAATGTTTTGTGTGGTGTTACAGGAGCTGTTGCCGCTGTGTGAATGTTTTGAAGAGGTCCATGATGATGCCAGCGTTGGAACAATCAAAGACATATATAGAGGGACTTCCCATCCAGGCTTGTAAATCAAACAAGGACAGTGGAATGTACTGTGTGTAACTCTGCAAAGACAATAACTGCTGCAAAAACAAATTATTTTACAGTGCATAGTTCATCCAAAAAATTTTAAACGTTGTGCCCGTTTACAACACTATTGCTTTTTTACACTTTTTGGCAGACACATCAGACTTCTGCAGGTATCTGATGCCCGGGTTAGCCTTCCCTCTAAGTTTTGTGAGACAATAGTCTCACGGCTGTGTGGTCACCTTCATTCCCTAGGTCACCCAGCTACTGGGATGAGTGGACGGTGCAGTACAGTGAGCAGCCAATGTCATTTTGAATGCTTTTCGACTGTGCATATCATGGTTTGTGCTGTGAGCTGCAGACTCAGAAAACGGAGAGTGGTCCTTTGCCACAGAAGGGATAATGCCTTATGCGATTAATTGCCAGTGCTATTACTTATGTGCTGTAACTCTGGTGTCAGAGTGTTTGTGTTGGCACTTTGGACAGCTTACTTTATGCATTTAATGCACGTGTATGCTACTGGATTTGATGGACTACAGTATGTGTAAATTTGGTTTCTCTACGAGGGATAGAGATGACATTCTTTGTGGTTTTCTGTTTGCTATGAAGGTGGAGCTGCCATTACCTGATTTAGTTGAAACAGCAATATAAGATGAAGTTGGGCAAACAAAACATGATATATCTGTTAGAACTGGTTGTAGTAAAACTGAGCTTCATAATGTACAGTTGCATGACATGTTTTCAGATCAGAAGAGATGAAAAAATGTGGAGAAACAACCTCAGTGGTGACAGTTAATCAAATCTATTGTTGCAGAGTCGCCAGTATCTTGACGTGAGAAGATCCAATCCATGTTGTTTTCTAGAGGTGTTGTGCGTCACTCATCAGACTGTGTCTCACAGATGAGTCAATGAACATGCACACTGAAACGATACAAACCTATCCAGAAACCAAGACTACCTTGAGAAGGAAGCACCTGGAATCTGCTGATATGTGAGACATTGGGCTGAAGAACATACTGCATGATAACAATGATGATGGCCTGGAGAGAATGAGGCACCTGAGTGTAACCAGAGGCTTTGGTCGACTCGCTACACTCAGAGGAAAGGCGAGACGGACCTATAAGCAGACCGGTACCATCAGTATTAGAACTCTGCGCTGGATGGTAAAGATGGAGACGGAGGAAGCATGGTAATGCCCCAAGTGCTGTGACGTCAATTCTTGACTTTACTATCTTAAACTAACTATACTGAATGATATTCATCCATGCTGACTACAACTCACAAAGTGAAAATTTGGCAAGAGTACCTTGAGAAGGTGAAGGTCAAAATGCTGGAGTGGCCCAGAAGAGACTGGACTCTACTGGAAATTTGTAAGCCCATGTGAAAAGTTTGCTGACAACCATCTTGTGCCATAAAATGCTAATTATTAATGCTATAAAGATTAAGCCATTTCAATGGTTTGAAATGAATTCTGTCTGTATTCAATAGTTGTGGATTTAAAACTGTGTGATAGACATGGCCAATAAGACACCTTTTATTGGGGGTGCCTAGTTGACCATGTTCTTAGTGCACTTGTATCCATGGCGAGGTGCATACGCCGTCTGGAGGTGACAGGTTCAATTCCTGGCACGGTAACTATAGTTTTCGATTTTTATGTTGTCTAGTGTGTTCTATCTTTCTACGAGTGCCGATCAATACACTTTCTGTTACTCGATTAATTCATTATATAAGAACCCAGCATGTCAAGTCTTCTTTTTCTTAGCATTCCCCAGTTGTAAACTCTAGCGGAAAGCTCTGGTTGTTCGACCACTTCTAGTTTTTGATCTCATTTCCTCACCCGTCTGGCAGGTGCACTCCCAATTCTGAAGAAAAACACTGCTAATTAGTCACCTCCTTGTTAGGGGACAGGCAGCCAATTTAGTCAGCTCCTTGTTAGGGGACAGGCAGCTAATTCTTATTTCCTCAAAATAAATACACACAGGGAAACATGTCCAGTGAAGAAGACAGCAGAAACATAGCTCACCTTATTGAACACCCAAACCTCTCCATTTGATGTTGGCTTGGGGACACCATGTCCAATATAATGAAACAAGACCCTCTCTTCCTGGAACATCCCACGATGGGGTAGACAAAACAAGTTATCTCATATCACACAAACAAACAAGTCAGCCGTAACTCTTAAAATTTCAACAGTACTGCTGGTTTTCTGTTTAGTTTCCCTTCTTTACCACAGTAAGAAGCCATATTATCATATGTGTACACGTCCCTACACTGTCCTATGTTGACACATTCTGTAATTTACCAGTGTTAACCCCACTGTCAAAGTTAACATGTTTCATCATTGTCTTGTATTACCGTACCCTATCATTGCCCTATATCAGCATGCTCTGCCACCGTCCTATCACTGCCACCGACCTATCACTATCCTATATCAGTATGATATGCCACCGTCCTATCACTGCCACCGACCTATCACTATTCTATATCAGTATGCTCTGCCACTGTCCTAAATCAGTATACTCTGCCACTGTCCTATATCAGTATACTCTGCCACTGTCCTATCCTATCAGTATAATATGCCACTGTCCTATATCAGTATAATACTGCCACTGTCCTATATCAGTATACTCTGCCACTGTCCTATATCAGTATGCTGTGCCACTGCCCTATATCAGTATACTCTGCCACTGCCCTATATCAGTATGCTGTGCCACTGCCCTATATCAGCATACTCTGCCACTGTCCTATATCAGTATACTCTGCTACTGCCCTATATCAGCATACTCTGCCACTGCCCTATATCAGTATACTCTGCCACTGTCCTATATCAGCATACTCTGCCACTGTCCTATATCAGTATACTCTGCCACTGCCTTATATCAGCATACTCTGCCACTGTCCTATATCAGTATACTCTGCCACTGCCCTATATCAGCATACTCTGCCACTGTCCTATATGAGCATACTCTGCCACTGTCCTATATCAGTATACTCTGCCACTGTCCTATATGCCAGCCCTATATCATACTCTGTCCTATATCCACTGTCCTATATCAGTATACTCTGCCACTGTCCTATATCAGCATACTCTGCCACTGCCCTATATCAGTATACTCTGCCACTGTCCTATATCAGTATACTCTGCCACTGCCCTATATCAGTATATTCTGCCACTGTCCTATATCAGTATACTCTGCCACTGTCCTATATCAGTATACTCTGCCACTGTCCTATATCAGTATACTCTGCCACTGCCCTATATCAGCATACTCTGCCACTGTCCTATATCAGTATACTCTGCCACTGTCCTATATCAGTATACTCTGCCACTGTCCTATATCAGCATACTCTGCCACTGTCCTATATCAGTATACTCTGCCACTGTTCTATTACTGCCCTATATCAGTATGCTCTGCCACTGTCCTGTCATTGCCCTATATCAGTATACTCTGCCACTGTCCTGTCATTGCCCTATATCAGTATACTCTGCCACTGTCCTATCAATGCCCTATATCAGTATACTCTGCCTGCCACTGTCCTATCATTGCCCTATATCAGTATACTCTGCCACTGTCCTATCATTGCCCTATATCAGTATGCTCTGCCACTGCCCTATCACTTCCCTATGTTAGTTCACTACCCTTGTTGTATGCCAATATTCTATAAACATTGATGTCAGTATTCGCTGTTCCCAGGCCCTATCATTGTTTGAAATAAACATGTAAATCACTGTTCTCTGTTCAAAGTGTATGTCACTGTTCTCTGTTTAAAGTGTATGTCACTGTTCTCTGTTTAAAGTGTATGTTACTGTTCTCTGTTTAAAGTGTATGTCACTGTTCTCTGTTCAAAGTGTATGTCACTGTTCTCTGTTTAAAGTGTATGTCACTGTTCTCTGTTTAAAGTGTATATTACTGTTCTCTGTTCAAAGTGTATGTCACTGTTCTCTGTTTAAAGTGTATGTTACTGTTCTCTGTTCAAAGTGTATGTTACTGTTCTGTTTAAAGTGTATGTTACTGTTCTCTGTTCAAAGTGTATGTCACTGTTCTCTGTTCAAAGTGTATGTCACTGTTCTGTTTAAAGTGTATGTTACTGTTCTGTTTAAAGTGTATGTTACTGTTCTGTTTAAAGTGTATGTTACTGTTCTCTGTTTAAAGTGTATGTTACTGTTCTCTGTTTAAAGTGTATGTTACTGTTCTGTTTAAAGTGTATGTCACTGTTCTGTTTAAAGTGTATGTTACTGTTCTCTGTTTAAAGTGTATGTTACTGTTCTGTTTAAAGTGTATGTTACTGTTCTGTTTAAAGTGTATGTTACTGTTCTGTTTAAAGTGTATGTTACTGTTCTGTTTAAAGTGTATGTTACTGTTCTCTGTTTAAAGTGTATGTCACTGTTCTGTTTAAAGTGTATGTCACTGTTCTCTGTTTAAAGTGTATGTTACTGTTCTGTTTAAAGTGTATGTTACTGTTCTGTTCAAAGTGTACGTCACTGTTCTCTGTTTAAAGTGTATGTTACTGTTCCACATTAACAAATCTGTTACAGTTTAATGTTAACATGTCCTGTCATTCTAGATACACACCACTGTTCTATGTTAATATGTCCTGTTCATAATTTTATGTTACAATTTTCAATATTATACTATGTTGACATGTCCAACTTTATGCAACCAAGTCGAATCATATTTTATCCTCACCTTAGCATTCCGCCGTAAAGATGTGCATAATTTTTTCACTTCTTCCACAGTGGGATCAAGACTCTGTTTGTAGCGTGCCCGGGGCTGCCATCTCTCATACTGCTTCTGCAGATTCAGGCCTATAGACTCCAGTGCCTTCTGTGGGCTCATTGTGTGAGGGTCTGCTGGCCAATGGAACAAACATAACAGTCAGAAATTGGAGGCTTTTGAGCAATCTTTACTTCTCACCTTGCTATGCAATAAAGCTAGTATATACATATGACCCCCAAAGGCTTCGCTGGTGCTAGAACAGCTTTTGCCGGTCATCCCAAGCCAGGACAATTTAAAGTGCTATACAAACATTTCTATGTTTCTCTATAACAGGATAATAAAAGGCTAGGAACAAACCCTTCTATGTTCCTCTATTACAGGGGATAATTAAAGGCTAGGGACAAACCCTTCTATGTTCCTCTATTACAGGGGATAATAAAAGGCTAGGGACAAACCCTTCTATGTTCCTCTATTACAGGGGATAATAAAAGGCTAGGGACAAACACTTCTATGTTCCTCTATTACAGGATAATAAAAGGCTAGGGACAAACACTTCTATGTTCCTCTACAACAGAATAATAAAAGGCTAGGGACAAACACTTCTATGTTCCTCTATAACAGGATAATAAAAGGCTAGGGATAAACACTTCTATATTCCTCTATTACAGGATAATAAAAGGCTAGGGACAAACACTTCTATGTTCCTCTATTACAGGGGATAATAAAAGGCTAGGGACAAACACTTCTATGTTCCTCTATTGCAGGGGATAATTAATGGCTAGGGACAAACACTTCTATGTTCATCTATAACAGGATAATAAAAGGCTAGGGATAAACACTTCTATGTTCCTCTATAACAGGATAATAAAAGGCTAGGGATAAACACTGCTATGTTCCTCTATAACAGGATAATAAAAGGCTAGGGATAAACACTTCTATGTTCCTCTATAACAGGGGATAATTAATGGCTAGGGACAAACACTTCTATGTTCATCTATAACAGGATAATAAAAGGCTAGGGATAAACACTTCTATGTTCCTCTATAACAGGATAATAAAAGGCTAGGGATAAACACTTCTATGTTCCTCTATAACAGGATAATAAAAGGCTAGGGATAAACACTTCTATGTTCCTCTATAACAGGGGATAATAAAAGGCTAGGGACAAACACTTCTATGTTCCTCTATAACAGGATAATAAAAGGCTAGGGATAAACACTTCTATGTTCCTCTATAACAAGGGGATAATAAAAGGCTAGGGACACACATTTCTATGTTCCTATATAACAGGATAATAAAAGGCTAGGGATAAACACTTCTATGTTCCTCTATTACAGGGGATAATAAAAAGCTAGGGATAAACACTTCTATGTTCCTCTATTACAGGGGATAATTAAAGGCTAGGGACAAACACTTCTATGTTCCTCTATTACAGGGGATAATAAAAGGCTAGGGACAAACCCTTCTATGTTCCTCTATAACAGGATAATAAAAGGCTAGGGATAAACACTTCTATATTCCTCTATTACAGGAACATATAAAGGCTAGGGACAAACTTCTATGTTCCTCTATTACAGGGGATAATAAAAGGCTAGGGACAAACACTTCTATGTTCCTCTATTGAAGGGATAATTAATGGCTAGGGACAACACTTCTATGTTCATCTATAACAGGATAATAAAAGGCTAGGGATAAACACTTCTATGTTCCTCTATAACAGGATAATAAAAGGCTAGGGATAAACACTGCTATTTCCTCTATAACAGGATAATTCTACTAGGGATAAACACTTCTATGATTTCTGAACAGGGGATAATAAAAGGCTAGGGACAAACACTTCTATGTTCCTCTATAACAGGATAATAAAAGGCTAGGGATAAACACCTCTATGTTCCTCTATAACAGGGGATAATAAAAGGCTAGGGACACACATTTCTATGTTCCTATATAACAGGATAATAAAAGGCTAGGGATAAACACTTCTATGTTCCTCTATAACAGGGGATAATAAAAGGCTAGAGACAAACACTTCTAGATTTCCTCTATTACAAGGGAGAAAATAAAAGCTTGGGATAAACACTTTCTAATTGCAGGGGATAATTAATGGCTAGGGACAAACACTTCTATGTTCCTCTATTACAGGGGATAATAAAAGGCTAGGGACAAACACTTCTATGTTCCTCCACTACAGGCGATAATAAAAGGCTAGGGACAAACACTTCTATGTTCCTATATTACAGAGAACAATTAAAGGATAGGGACAATAACTTCCAAGTTCCTCTATTTAAAAACCCTAGTAAATAACTTCAACACAGACTCTCGAATGCATCAGTGTATGGTTTATTTTCTCTAGCCAGACTCGCTTAAAGAACCAGTCTGAATGTATATGTATGTAAGAGCTTTCTCCTGGGATATCCCTACTACTTAATCTTTGTGATTTCTGAGTGAGGTCAGAGATTAATAACATGATCCACTTGTACCCTAACACCCCCCTCCCCCCCTCGACCTCATTACTCTCCTCTAGTCAAGTACTTTATGACTACACTCCTTACCCCTTCTCCTCCCCCCACATGCATGTCATAGAAGGCAAATGAAGGGTCTGTTGAAATTAGATTGTTGGCCAAGGGCAGAAATATTGCAGCTTGGTTATAAATAACAATATAATGTGCCAGTCAACCTTTAGAGGGGCAAACACAGAAGAAGAAAGTATATTTCCCAACATGTATTTACCAGGTGATTGGAAGATACTGAATGTGACTTTAGTATATTAATATGTGTATAATTTCTTTTCACTGGAGGTTAGAAAAAGAATTCTTGTATATTATATAGAGCCAGTTTTAACATATGGCTGTGAATCCTGGACAACTAACAAACAACCAAATAATTGTTGGTGTGGTTTTTACAGAAGAATCTTAGAATTCCTTGGATGGCCACACACATACAAAAACCCAGATGTTTAAAAAAAAATCAGAAAGAAAGTCATCTATTAACAGAAGAAGGAAATCAACATGTTGTGCCCAACTGGAAAGATTTGTGGAACAAGTAAGAGAGGAAGAGAACATGAGAAGATTCTTAACAGACTTATGTCCTGGCACGGAGGGGTATCTATACACGAACTGATACATGCTGCAGAAGATCACAATTTGTGGAGAGGCATGATCGCCCACACCAGTCAGCAAGGCACTTGATGATAATTTCCCTGCTACCAGCTGAGAGACCAACTTCTGATTGACTCACCTATCCAACATTCCATTCGAGCACAAGGGGAAATCTTCACAACATCTGGAGGGTCCACGCCAACGTTCAAACACAGCACCAGAGCGACACTCACTGTTTTCATCTGTGGAAGAGAACATGCTTTCTATATTGACTGCATGCTAGACCACACACTGCAGGCAGTTCTTTCAGTCATGTCCCAACTAAAGATTTTTCCTCCTATCCCTTTTTTCAACACACAAAGAAACAACAACTGTATTACAAGCTAACATGTTCTTTAAAATACTAACAATAAGCAAACAGCTAAGCACCATGCAAGATAAGTTAGTCTGGCCTCGTCAAGCCAGGAGCTTGATTTTTTGCAGTCAGAAGTAATGAATACTAGGGTGAGGGAAGCTGACTAGGATGAGAAAGCCCAAACTCAACTTTGCCATCCTGGCTGTGACACCCTTTATCTCATCTTTGTTACTATATTATCCCAATAAAATAGATTGAACTGATGGTGCTTGTAACGTTTACTGCCCCAAAAAGAGAGTGACTACCCCTCCCATTCATGCTTCATCGTGTCACAGGGCACATCATATGTTGCAGGGTGTTACGCTTAGTAAGCGTCTAGAAACATGTAGTATTTCACTCGTTGTAAGCGGCCGCGATACAACGTGTTCTATATTTCCCAATGTGAGCGCTTTTAACCTGGAGGCTAACCTGGAAAACAAATGACAGCTTAAGTTGGATGTGCAAGTGAAAAACACAGATACTGCAGGCATACTGTGAACAGGCACAAAGCATGGACGTCCGTTGAACGATAATGAAGAACTATTTCATCAGATGCCATTAACACAGTGAAAGGTGGCTGCAATGGCGGCTCTACTCCGAACTTCTACCCCGGCATTATGGCAGCCAAACAAATATCCTAACAGGTCATCAGTCCTATTAAAAATATGCGCACTTCCGGCGACGAACAAATCGCGTCAAAACTAGGATTACCTGACAAAGTCAAGAGACGCAACACTGCAGACAATAGTAGCAGATGATAATAGCGACCGTTGACACTTTCGAGCGTTTCTGCATATGATACTAGCAGACGATACTAGCGACCATTGACAATTTCGAGACACGCAACATTACAGATGATAAAAGCGACATGGCAAGGAAACACGCGCTCCGATGCAGATTAGCGTCGTTGTTGTCCTGATAATTTTCGGTATGCGAAAAACGCGGTTACACTCGCGTGGGGGATACGGTCGGCCGTTAGGCATAGTCACAGAAACAGGTCCGCAATTAACATATCGCTGAGACCCTGTTAGAGCATTTGTTTCATTTTCGGAGCCGATCCTAGTTGTGCCGCTTGGCAGGAAGTCAGAGAAGTCCAAATTTTTTCATAGGACTGAGGCGCTGTTAGGATATTTGTTTGGCCGTCATAATGCCGGGGTAGAAGTTCAGAGGAGGGCGGCAATGGCTGCCATACGTCCATCTCTTGGTGTTGTCTGTATCTAGCTCTTGCTTTAACTTTCGTTTCCAGCATGCTTCTAAGCTGGCATCTCTGGCTTAGACAATTCCAGAGTAGCCAGTTTGATTCCAGCTGCAAACAATTAGGCAGGAGATCATTTTGTGTTGACTTCCACAATGGTATTGAGAGCTGGCTGTTCACTAAGCAAAGGCAAAATTCTGAACATAACATTCCCTTGTGAAACTAAACTGCCAACAACATAAATGCTCTGTTAAGGATATAACAAATTTGTTTTAACTTTTGCTGCTTGGTGGTTACCCTTACTGTGGCAGGAATATTTCAACTGCCTTTTTTTTTTTATTTAAATGCCTTTCAGCAACTCTTAGACATTATTCCACTGCAAAACAATCACAGCCTTGCCTTTACTTTCCAGGTGTCACAGACAAACAAGCACAGGAACTTACCTGCTCCATTATTTGCCAACAATGAAGACACAATTTACTCTCGTTCTATTTCGTTATTGTCACAGACATAAAAGGGGGTGGGGTATAGGGGGTTCAGAGACTCATTCCTTCGTGAGTTCAGTTCATATCTTGCCATGAAGACATAACTTCACCCATCTCATCTTTCCAGCAAACAACTAAACAACAGACACACAGAGAGGAAAACCTATCCCTGCCATCCTGTCAGCGTCTAAGACACAAACAAACCCAGAGAGAGACAAGCCTACCCTTTCTTTCATGCGCCAACCATGAAGACACAACTTGGCCCCTTCTATCTTGCTTGTGTGACGATTCTGGTTGCAGACAACGGGCAGCATGGAGTCCACCAACTCTCCTTCGCTTTCGTCGAATATCTCTTCGTTATCAACCATAATAATATTCTTGGCAAACATACTCCGGCCGGTGGATTTGTCTAGCAGCAGGGTGAACACATTAAGTGTCAACGGCGGTAAAGGTCCAAGAAAGTCGCTAGAGCGTGCCGTGAGATTTCTTCTCTTCTGTTGACATTCTCCATCATGGATGTACTCTCCGTGAATCCTCCAACAGCAGAAATAGTCAAACCATCAATCGCCTGCTTTATTTGTTGCTTACATTTGAATTTTATTTAAAAGATTAATGGCTGATTACTAAAAACAATGCGACAGTATATTCTAATAAAAAGAAACAACAAAATTATGATAAATGACATTAGCCTCCCAAGAGTAATTCACGTGAACTTCGTGCCAGGTGGCAATTTTTGCTTTGTTGATAAATTAATTTTCAACATTTGTTGTTTAATCAGCGAAACAACTAGAAGTTTACTATTTATATACATTTACCCCCGTTATAAATTAATATTTTATTGAAACTTAAAGCAGAACATTTACATTAGTTAATTTTAATTTCAATAATATAATAAATTTAGGCTCTGTTGGATCAGTATAAATCTGGAAGAAGTGGAGGCGGGTGGGACGCGGTGTACTGGACTTTAAAGATAACGATGAAAGTTTAAAAAATGTAATCAATTACTAACAGAAACAATACATGTTGCATTTGTTACAGGTACTCATTGGGGGAAAAGGAGGGGCAGGCTGTTTACCAAAGGATAATATGAGACAGACAATAAATGTGATATGCGGAAACTAATACACTGTAAAAATATTTTTTTATTAGATATGATACAAGTGAAACTCGACGGAAATAGGTTGATACATAAAATATACCTGAAACATGTCATAATGTAAAGACGCGTTTCATGCCATTTACAAAAAAATGAAACATAAAATAATATTTGAAGAGTGAAAGATCCATCAAAATAATCTGATTAATAAGCTTTTAACGAGATGGTCTAGTCAACTCACTACACTCAGAGGAAAGGCAAGACCGACATATAACCAGATTGTGACCGGTACCATCAGTATTGGATTGGAACTCTGCGCTGGCTGCTGAAGATAAGGACGGAGCACGCATGGAAATGCCCCGAGTACTGTGAGGTCAACTCTTGAATCAACTCAACTCATCACCATCAGGTATCTTGCCGACTGGCGTGGGCGATCATGCCTCTCCATAATCTGCGATCTCCTGCAGCATGTATCAGTTCATGTGCCGACACACCTCCATGCCATGCAACAAGACTTTCAAGTATCTTCTCTTGTTGTCTTCCTCTATCCCTCCTTCCATAGATCTTTCTAGTTCTATTTTCCCTCTTCTCATAACATGGCCGAAAAATGATGACTGTCTCTCAATGACAAGATGTTTTTCATTTTATAAAATTCAGTTGTTGCCTGTCCAATTCTGTTTCAGTTATGCATCTTCCATCTGATGTTATCCATGTGCCTAAATACTTAAATTTCTGTACTTGTCCTAAAATAACACCATCCACTTTTATTACACATTTAGGAATAATTCGTTTCTTTGATACCACCATTACTTCTGTCTTCCCATTATCCAAACCGAGCCCCATTCTTCCACTTTCTAACACCACAATGTCTATCATTTCCTGTAGTTCTTTCTGACTTTGCTCTCCTCGCTCAAATTTATCAAGCCTGCACGTATGTCCAATTGCGCCATCCAAGACCTTCCTCTTTTAGTCTGTGACCCTTAGCTCTACCCATGGCTTCATGCAGGAGGTGCTTCTCGTCTGCAGCCACTCTGAGAACTTTGAGCCTGTCTGCAATAGTAGGCAGTGCAACTGTATATCGCATACATACTACCGGGGTATCTCTTGTACATCCCAGAATTACCCGCATAACATCATTCTGTATGCGTTTAAGTTTCATGAGCTGACTCTTTGATATGATAAGCATTTCAAGTCCGTAATCTATCACCGACATGATCACATGCTGGAACATTGTGAACAGCATTCTTTGTTCCATGTCCATTGTTGCAAATATCGATAGAAAAGGGCAACAAACATTAGTAAACGGAAAGCTATTAGAACAGGTGACAGGTTTTCCTATCTAGGTCACGTAGTAAGAGATGATGGAAGAAGCGAATTTAATTAAAAAGAGAATGAAAATGGCTAAAACTGTTTTCAATAAGATGCACAAATTACTAACAGCCAGAGAGATAAATAAACAACACATTAAAAATGTTATGTATACTCAGTCCTGTTATATGGTGCAGAAACTTTGACAATGAACAAACAACTAGAAAATAGAATTGAGGCCCTGGAAATGTGGGTATACAGAAGAAAAGGTCGTATTTCGTGGAAACAAAAACAGTCCAATACAGAGGTTATGTAAAGACTACAAATGAAAAGAGAATTACCGAAAGAAATACAAAAGAGACAGTTGAAACACGTTGGCCACTTTAACATCTAAAAAAACCATAGTGGAGGGAAAGGTCGAGGGGAAGAGAGCAAAAGGTAGGTAACGATTCGAGTGAAAGGACAATATCAAGAGTTTGATGGACAGAAGTCTGGGAGAGTGTACAACCACAGCCATCTTTAGATATAAATAGCCCTGAAGATGGGCGTGTGTACAACCGAGAGACAGAGAGAGTCCTGGAGATCCATTGCAGCCAACCTTTTCTGTGGAGACGGAACCTGATTGATCGACCTCGGGGTCAAGGTTAGCATGGGTATAAAAAGCACGAAGGATGGGGAAAACAATAACAGAGGTTTGTGGGCTTACCAGGAACTATAGTAAAAGAAGCAACCACATAAGTATTAATTGTCAGGCTCCATGAACATGCTCCAGAAAACCACAATAGGTAATCTAAGCTCCGAATGAGTAGAAAGCATTGAGAAGTCGCAGTGAACCTCAGTCACCTGTCTTCACACCTGCTCAGTCTACATGAGCTGCAACCATACCAACAACAAACTCACAGTGGGTCGAGGGTCATGGAGACGTGGCAGTGGACCACACCAGCTGTCCCCCTTTGTGAGTCTCTTGGTCTAGCCTTACAGATGAAAAGGTGCACTCAGATGGTAAGATGGTTTTCACTGACGGCTCTGCTACAGATGCAGTCAGAAAGGGGTGTTGTGGAATTTACCTTAAACCCCCTAGCAGTAGAGCAGAAACTCTCTCTACCAGCAGGTGACATCTGCACTAACTTCAGAGCTGAGACAACTGCCCTCCTCTCTGCAGTCCAACATCTCATCGCTCAAGAACACAGGAGGCACCAAATTGTTATACTTAGTGACTCATTGTCTGTTCTCCAAGCACTATCCAGCTAAAAACAAGACAAACTAATTGCTGATCTAAGGAATAGCATTGGCTTACTCTCCAAGGAAGCAGAACTGGTCTTGCAGCGGATACCAGCCCACTGTGGTATTCAAGGAAATGAGAGAGCAGATGAGTTGGCAAAAGCTGGGAGTAATCTTCCACAACCTCATCCACCACACAGCTACAAGGAAACCAAAACAGAGCTAAAGCAGTCTTTCAAGCGGGAGTGGAGAAGGCAGATTACAGACCAGAGAGTGACAGCATAAAGAAACTCCACAGGAAAGAACAAACATCCATTTTTAGACTTCGGACTGGACACTGTGGTCTTCGAGCACACTTGTACAGGATAGGCATAAAAGAATCTGCTGCCTGTGATTGTGGAGCAGAAAGACAAACCCCTGAACACATACTGCAGTACTGCCCTAACCTCTCCCAGCAAAGACTGGATCTGGCCCAAGGGAGCCACATTGCAAGAGAAGCTATGGGGGGGCCGGTGGCGACCTTAAACGCACAATCATATTTGTGACCCAGACGGGACTCAATGTTTAGCATGACTGATGTCGAACGCAGAAGAAGAAGATGGTAAGTCTTCTGACCTGCCAAACCTTTCTAGTCAAGACCGTTGTGCGTGACCGAAAACGCACACATTTTGAAAGGTGCCCGCCTTAATCAAGACCTTGCGGTCTTGGGACAAAACCCAACCTCAATATATATATATAAAACCAAGCCTAACGTTGAAAGTTGGCCGAATGGTTGTGGGATAGTCAATCGTGGACGTCTGGTCAGCGGGAAGGGCGGCGACAGGCGTGTGGACGCCGTAGGCACATCCATTGCCTCTTCCTTAACAGGCTGGTTATGCTAGGCTACTTCATGTACTATAACATATTTTTTTCACATTGATTTTTTTATTTCATAAGAATGTCGCCGGAGTTACGAAGCATGTGCTCTGTTTGAAGTCATCTTCAGCGAGCGGCAAAGAGGAGAAAACGGTGAGAAGAAAGCAGAGAAATAGAAGGGCAGGAGATTTAGGCGAAAAACAGAACGGCTGGGGTTCAACTATGTAAGAGTGCTATTGGAACTGCCGCAGTGCCAGTTAATATACGATTCTCATGTAATCATGCTTCTTGAGCTGAATGCAGACACATACTGCCGTGGATAGGTCAGCTATGTAAACCCTGATGGACAGGGGCAATGTCTGCTAGTCAAACATGTGCTTGACCTGATTCGGTGGAATCGTGATGCCGTGGAGGTGCTGGGAAGACGGAGATTGGCGACCTAAGCTGTAAATAATAAATATGGTTGCTACTGTGTGTTCATTTGTCACAAAGCTATCCTCCGAATAACGGACACAAAAGATGGCGGCCTTAAAAACCACCGTAACCGAGCCCCAGTCACGTGTCAATTGCGCACTTTCGGCGACTTAATTTGCGGTTTTCCGACGATTACCGCCAAGAGTATCCCTCACTAAGGCTAAACTAGATGACTAGGACTCACGAGCAGTAGCTTCCGCAGCTGTGCTTCTGAGCCCTAGCTATCTAGTTTAGCCTCAATCCACGCCGCGTAAGCGATACCCTTAGCAGTCGCCGGAAAACAGGAATTGACACGTAACTGAGGCCCTGTTTTTGGCCGCCATCTTTGGTGTCCGTTATTCAGAGGATAGGTTCCTAATTTGTGGAGATTTTAAGCACGGAATAATTATTGGGAATCCTGGAGGGGGTAGCGTCGATAAGAGGCTCGCTTTAAAATCTAACTGCAGCCACGGTTCGGACCCCCCCCCCCCCCCCCTCTAGGAAATGGGTACCAGTGTTGACCACTGGGGTAAATGGAGAAACGTCGCTGTAGCTAGTTACGTGCGAACGGCGACCAATTCTTATCAGTACTAGTGACAGAGCACTTATGGTTTATAACAGTGTGCAATGACGCTGGCTGATATCTCGTGACTTCACTTTTTAACTGGAGAAAATCGACAAGGAGTTTTCCCTCACTGAAGCCATGTTGGACTCAAATGTCCCGTTTTGATGTGTGATCAAACATTAGCTACATGAACAGTGTATGGCTGAAGTGGAAGCATCCACCGAGAGCTCCAGATAGACCTGCTGGGTGATCAAGGACTAGATCTGACAGACTGGATAAATCAAGGACTAGGTGAAGTCTATGGGGAAGAGAGGGGTAAGAACAAAGGCAATGGAAGGGAGACAATATTTATTTAGGTTGTCATTGTAAGGAAAATATATGACGCTGGAAAGGAACAAACATGTTAAAATATTTAATGCAAGACAACTCCTTTATTCTTTTTACCTATGACGTTTTCATCATGTTCCTCTACAACCGTCTCAAATTCTCATTGAACTGCTGACTATTCATGATTACTTCAGGACTGGCTCGACATTGATTACCGTATCGGATACATACAAATACCAGAGGAGCTTAAAATGTGATGACAAGAGGAGAAATAAGGAAGCATCTGAGCTACCACTGATAACATCAGTTATAAGACAAGGTGGTGCTATATTGGACATGCGAGAACCATCACACAGACAGTGAAACACGGGGATTGAGGACGTCCCAAGAAACCCTGTGGCAACGATGAGACAAGTCAAAGGGGCTCGACTGGATCCAATCCATTATATCAAGCTGAGCTTGAAACAATTAAACAACTAATGGTTTCTAATGGATATCCAGGTGGCTTTATTAAGCGCCATTGCCAGCCGCCTAAACCAGTTACCTTAGAAATGTCGGTGCCCAAAAAACTAGCCTATATTATATACATCTAACGTTTCGGGGAGACGACGTCATGCAACGTATATATGACCGACTCAAAACAGCAGTCCGTCAAACCTTTTACGAAACCATGCCTGTTTTGAGATTTAAAACCACCAGGATTCCTACACCACCAGTAAAAGAACCGGTGTCGGCGTACGCCAGGCCTAACTATATACCAATTTAAATGCACCTGCAACGCTGCATATGTGGGCAGAACTGATCGACGACTGGAACAATGGGTTGCTGAACATATTCCACTATGGGTGATAAAAGCAATGCAGAACACTAACACCTCAACAACGAATCAGGCGACTGGTCGAAATAATCCATCATCAGCAATTGCGTGCCATATTCTGAATTCCGGGCACATCATCAACAGGGATGATGCATTTCTAATTTACAATTCGGCCAACCATAGATTACTTCGATAGACAGAAGCTTCCACAACTGGCAGATTGAAACCGGAACTATGTAGGCAAAAAGAAATGGTCCTTGCCCTACGCTTAACTTGGATAAACAATTTGAAATTTACTTCAGTTTCTAGGATTCAGCTATTTGCTTCATTTTAATTAAATTGTTACTGCAGTATGCACCTGACCAGATACAGCAAAATATGCCAGGCAATAAATTGTGCAGTCTAATGTTTGCGACTTAAAAAAATTAGGATTTTTTAGTGAGATGAAGTCTCCTGATAATCCCTGAACACATCAAACCCACCATTTTTGACTAGGTATCTACCTGCCCTGCCGCTACCTAGATGACCCAAACTTCCCCGTTTGATAGAAATATTCTCCAGCACTTCAATAAAACGAGCAAAAGGGGAATCCAAGTCAATTGTCCCCCCCCCCTTGAAACTTGGATACAGTTGAGATATGCTGATGCTTTGGTTTAAAAGAAAAGGCTATTCCCCCAGGCATGTTTAAATAGATCAATTTCATTTTACATGTGATCTATATACAACAAGCGTCCACTCATGATGATACGTGCATTCTCATAGCCTTGTTTGAAAACTAAGCAATGCACATGCTCACTTCGGCCAGTCCGTCCATTATGTGCCATGAACAGATAGCTACTGTCCTAGTGATTTCATGGGGAACAACATCAAAGAGGGGGACAAACAAGAGACCAAACAAAACAAAATATAATGTCCAATCATTTAATGATAAACTCAGAGCTTAGAACAGTGCTGCATCTTTAATCTTCTGCATCTTCATCGTCAGCTGCACCACTAGACTGGCCCTTCTTGGCATTCTTCCTCTTTACACGTCCTGAAATAGCAAAAGCAGATGTCACAACCAAGCAGACAACCCCAAGTATTGTATCTAATATGGGTAATTTTTTAGCCCAACACTAGACATTCTATATATACATAAATATACACATACAACTAGTGCCTTATCATTGCGCGTAGACACACACAGGTGAATCAGAAGGTGTGTGGGTTTACTCCCTGAGCCAGACTTTTTTACTATGACTCCCGGCTTGACCCAGAGTAGGTAATCAGTAACAGTCTCAGGAAGGTCAATGTGATGCTGACCACATCACCAATCTTGTGCTGATTGGACTATCCCTACACGCCTAAAGGTGTGGAAAGACTCCAAACTTAGGTCACTTCATAGATTTCATAAAACCAAAATACTGCAGTCTGTGCATAATACAACATTAATATACTTTTGTGTTCACCAGCGAACTCCAAATAAAAAGCTGTTGTTCACCTACTTTTAGTCATGTCCCACAACCATTCACATATTCTTGATCTGCTTTACAGATCAAACCTCTACCTCCCAGGCAAATGAACAGGTCAACACACCTAAGCAGACTTACTAAACACTAAGAGGGTATTTAGTCATGGAACCCTATTAGGGACAAACAACAGCTACAAGTTTACCTAAGTAGCCAATGTTACAAATAGTGCTAAAACCTTACAAGTGAGGGGAAAAAAAAAAAAAAAAACCTAATCGTTCAAACATGTTAGTAAGCACATTGTGTAAAGTAAAAGGTCACTTACCAGGTCTGCCACCGCCATAAGGTGAGCGCAGAGAGAAGTCAATGTGTTTCTGGGAGTCCAGGCGAACAATGTAGCTTGGGATGTTCACCACTTGCTTACGCACCCTAGAAAATAGTTGAGGCTACTCTTAAAATCTACACAATTTATTAAAATAATGTGTATATTAAACTACTATTTTCCTTACTAAACGCAGACAATCTAGCCAGGAAATGAAAGATAGAAGGTGATGGAGACCATACGGTTCTGAGACATTGCCCATGTTTATCCTAAGTTTTTATTAAACCCCAAAATGCAATAAACCAGCTTCACATTCTGAAACACTACAAGCAAAAAAACAAGTCCCTACACCTATTATTGTATGCAAGCAAGTTAATAAATAAACCTGTTTAAAACCCTGAAACTGGCAAGTACAAAGAACATCCCTAAGGCAGGGCAGATAAAATGCATTACCTTGAAATGTGAAGACTACCAATAGACATGAGGCCAATGAACCTCAGTGGTCTACCAGTGCCAAAACCATCATAAAGCACTCCAGGTGTGTGCCAACACTGAACTACTCTCCAGTTTACAACCAGGTGCTGGGCAAAAGTGGCTAGGTAGACGTTGGAAACTAGTTTCCAAGTGGCCTACCGAAATACAACTTTACTCAAGCATGTCTGCAGGTGTAAGAAACAATTGTTTATGTATGTAAGAAACATGGTATTCACTGTGTAACATCTACCTTCAGCTGGCTTTGAGCTCTACATCATGTTTTGTTGAGAAATGCGAAGACCAAGCATACAACATACAGTGGTATACTTTCTGAAATGTTTCAAATGAACAGGCACAGACAAGACTGTCATCTAATAGGTTGTGATTTTTTGCAGATGTGCAAGGCCTTTTAGTATGGAAAGTTTTTAGGATGTCTAGCCACCCACCCAATTAAATTTGGTTACTACTTTTATTGATACATTTCTGTTTCTCTGACCCCTATGAAATAAGATTGATTTGAAGGATATTGGATTGAAGTTCATGATTTTTGAAGGATACATGGCGTTAAATCTGATGTATATGCAAATTAATCTGATTTGTCAATCCAAAAACAGATGTATAATTGCAAATTCAATGATGTATAACTAAAAACCAAAATATTTAATTTTTATTGCCTTTCGTATTTTTTCGGGTGTATACCCGGCCGGAGCCATGGTTGGTTTTGGTCTTATCAGCATCCCCATCTGATTCAACACTATTACTACTAACACTAGATCCTGCATCAGTATCAATAGGTTTAGTGTCACTTGATTCAAATGTTTTATCAAGTTCAGGGGCAGTAAACATACGAGTCAGACATAATAACGGTCTAGGTCACTAAAAAATTTCAACACTTTTCACTTTGACACCAAACAATAGAAAGTTGCTATGATAATACAGCAGTGTATATAAAATAATCACTTTCAGTGTTTCAAAATAAATTTACAAAACAGGATCGGGTTGCTAAGTGGGTTAAACTGATAAGAGAAGTGACAAAAGAAAGACCATACAATGATGAAACTGCTAAAGATGACAGACATGGGAATTTCCTAGTTGCTGTTATGTTCTTAGCTTAACACTACTAAATATAAAGTTAGCATAATCATTTACTCAGTGTTTTTTTTAAAGCTCTGTGTTTTATCTCAATGCGTCTGCGGTCCACACACATCTGAAGTGGAAAATGGTTTCTTGCTTGCGGTACACTATGCATGCTCATCTATCTCCCACCCCCCAACAAAACTAAAGTCAGCTGTTGGTTTTCTGCTGCAGAGGGGTGTGTTGATTTCACCAATCCACACATAAGCACCACAGAAATTATGCAACAAGTACCAAGACCAATTCAGAGTTAAATCAATTTTGGGGAATTCAGGAACCATTAGTTGAAAAGCTTCAGCACTATAAATATAGCAAGCGTTAACTTGGACCAAGGAGTTATCCCCAAGCAGCTGATTTAACCAACTAAGCTATCAGTGTAACAAAAGAACTACCTGATGTGTCTCTGTCTGATGAGAACTCGGGCGTGATGAATGCTCTTAGCCAGGCCCAGCTTGAACACCTGAGTCTGCAGACGTCTCTCAAGGAAATCTTCCAAACGCAGACCCAAGACAAAATCAAGCTTCATCTTTCCTTCATCAAGTACACCAATGCGTACCAGTCGACGAAGAAGGGCATTACCTAAGAAATAAGATAGTTCACATACAGGTTACAGCTTATCCATGACTTACAGGCTTTTGAAGATATCTACTTTATCATTTTAACCCTTTAAAGTTGTGGGATAGTATCAGTGAAAGGTATTTTTTCAGGTTAATTTTTTTATATCAAAGTTCAATTGCAGTTGCTTTTGTATAAAAGTTGACACAAAGAAAAAACGGCAGTTGTGCCTAACTAGGGAACTTTGTTCCTGACTAGTTTGTCTTTCGCCCGATCTCCCAGGTGTGTTAGTACATGGATTTTTGTCAGTGTTGAGCACGTAATTGTGTGCACCAGGTTGAAGAAAGACTTCCACACACAAGTTTTCGGCTATACTCTGAATAACGGTCTCAAATTATCGAGGCTAAAATATACTCTAGCAGGGCCTCAGCCACATGTAAATTGCAGACTTCCTGTGACTATACCATCCCAAGTATCTACTGTGCGGAGCAGGGCTAAACTATATGGCTGGTACAGCTTTAGTGAGTCCCAGCCATATAGTTTAGCCCCACTCTGCGCAAAATACTCGGTGGTGGCGGTATTGTGCCTGGGTCCGCAATTTACATGTACCCGAGGCCCTGTTAGGGTATATTTTCGGCCTCAATTTGGGGCCGTTATTCGGAGGATAACCCAAGTTATCTTTTGTGTGAACAACTAACTTTCTGATAATGATCATTCCCAGTTGGTTACTTTCGTCATGTGAAAAAGACACCACTGTGCTGTGGTTAATTCATGAGAATTCCCCAGAAAATAGAGGTCCCAATATAAGATACAATTTTTAAAAATCTTTAAAGGTAGATATATGACACGCTTGCCAGGTAGGCAGTGGGTGTATTAGCGTTCGCCAGCTGTATACAATTCTGGTTGTTTCACCCGCTTCTGGACTTTGGTTCTGTTCCAGGAATTAAGTTGCGTGTGTCTCTTACAGGGTCTGACTCATTTACAATGAATGTTGGTTCCTTGCGCCTGAGACGATCTGACTTTGAAGCAAGCTGTTAGTCGACTCATACGACATGCTCTAGTCTATGGCAGGTGATGGGTCTATTCTTGCGCTCCCATCCACGGGCAAGTGGGCGTAGCTTTCCCCCCCATGTCCAAATTTAATTTAAACCGAACCAGATATCAGATTAAAACAATGAGTCACTAAATCACAGGGTCTCTCAACAAAATATGATTTTCTCGTGATCAGTTTACTGTATTGTTTACTGGCAGTATTTAAAAAAAAACAGCAGCAAGTAAAAGCAAACAAACATTAACTGTACCTTCAAACAATCTCTTCTGGTCCTTCTCGTCCAGTGTCAGCAACTCTCGGGCAGCCTTTCGGATTTTACCCAGGGCGTATTTGACTCTCCAGACTTCACGTTTGTTACGTAGTCCATATTCACCGATTAGCTTCAACTCCTGGTCCAAGCGCTCCTTCTCAAAGGGGCGACGAGGAGTTGTGTAGGTTTTACTCTGAATGCGTGGAACACCCGGCATTGTGGCCAATTACTGTGAAATAAAAAATAAACGTGTTAAGAACCTTTTAGCTTAACCAAAGGCTACATGCTAAAGTTCTAACTAGGAAAAAAAACTGTCGTTCAGTGACTAGTTTCGACAATGTCTTTTTGGCAATTTCTGTTACCATAGAAACCATTTGAAACTTGTTTGGGAAATGTTGGCTGGGATTTCGGGATATGTCCTAATCTCTCATGAAATTTTGCGATTGGTGTGATTTTCACCAGCTATAAATAGCTGAAAATGGCGGGAACAAACCCAATTAACAGCGCATGTCTACGACATGCCGGACGTCCTGTTAAGTATTCAAGGTTGGCTTTAGGCCTTAAATATTACCAGACATGGCAATGCTAGTTATAATTGAATTCTTTGTCCAATTTTACATTTGTGTATAAAATTTCTCTTCTCTGTAGCTATTTCGATTTACAGTGACATTTTTCAGGCAATCGCTAATATGTGGCTGTGTCTGAGAAAAATTGTCTGCCATCTTGTCCAATGAATACAAAGCCAAAACGAAAGTGCGCAGTTTGGTTGCGCAGAGAAAACTTGTTTCTGCGACGCAAGTTTTCAACAGCTTTTTTTTTTTTACATCTCTCCACAAAAAAACACATATCTCAGCTCAGAAATGACATACAAGCCTAAATGAGGTACCGTTGGAAAGAGATTATTTACAGCTAGCTAACTGTGCTGGTTTTATTGGTGTAGAGGGCATTTTAAAAATTTGTATCTAGTTTAAAGCAGGTCCACAATGACAAAATGACAATGGACGTTTGAGGATAAGTATTGAGATGAAGCCTAGTTATAGTAGGAATGGGGAGAGTTTATATGTAAATTCCCTTGTATAGATAGCCGTACATTTAATGTACAATTTCATTTAATTAAATTATAAGTACATCATGACACAAATTACTTAAAAAGAAAATCTCGCAATGTGCGAGTGTGACTGCTGTGACCACGTGGTATCTAGTGACTAGTGAATCTAGTCACCGGTACATTCTTTTTAATGAAAGCAAGTTGTGATATAAAGCTTGGGGTAGAGAGTGGCTAATCAACGTTATATAATTGATAGAAATGTTCTATATTCTAATAACTAAATAATATCAATACCGACGTTGAAATCACCAATGTAAGCAACAATCGGTCAGTGAGAAAGTAAACTCGACCTACCTCCAGCGGGATCTGTCAGGGAAAGAACGATTTACCTCTAGCCGGATACCAGATCACCTCCATAATGTAGTGCCAACTCCGTGGTACATCTAAGTGTGAATACTTATAATAAAAAGAAAGAAGTATTTTTTGAACAAACACTATTTACCTATGGAAACAAAATGCGAATATTCTTAAAATATTAAATAAAAGGCTCTAAGCCATAAATTAGTATTGCTCATGAATATATTACTTTGAGTAATAATGTAATTAGGAGAAGTCACGTGACTTAACATTTCCGTTTGGGGATTTAGAAACAGCATAATCATCATCATCCTTGATATTCTGTAGCAGGTCATTTGCAAAAACATCAAACTATAGCACACTTCTCCCAACCTGGTCCGGACTTCACGTTATTTGAGGACAGTCGGGGATCCCAATATAACCTTACAGTTGAACGGGACTTACCGGCAGTTGTACATGTTTTGATTCTGCTAACTGGAGGCGACGAATGTCAATTTTGTTCTATCACAGTACGCCAGACAGAGACACTATTCCATGCCAACTTTCCCTTTTCGTAAACTTTCATGCCCAGAATGTCCTTGATAACCTGTATCCCAGCGGCGCCATAATCTGGGACCGCAGACACATATGCTGTATGCCTGGAACTGTTGTTGTGACTATAGTTAGGCTGTAGGTCTACGCTGTATGTCTGGAACTGTTGTGACTGTATAGTTAGGCTGTAGGTCTATGCTGTACGCCTGGAACTGTTGTTGTGACTGTATAGTTAGGTTGTAGGTCTACGCTGTATGCCTGGAACTGTTGTTGTGACTGTATAGTTAGGTTGTAGGTCTATGCTGTATGACTGGAACTGTTGTTGTGACTGTAAAGTTAGGTTGTAGGTCTACGCTGTATGACTGGAACTGTTGTTGTGACTGTATAGTTAGGTTGTAGGTCTACGCTGTATGACTGGATCTGTTGTGACGGTATAGTTAGGTTGTAGGTCTACGCTGTATGCCTGGAACTGTTGTGGTGACTGTAAAGTTAGGTTGTAGGTCTACGCTGTATGCCTGGAACTGTTGTGGTGACTGTATAGTTAGGCTGTAGGTCTACGCTGTATGACTGGAACTGTTGTTGTGACTGTATAGTTAGGTTGTAGGTCTACGCTGTATGACTGGAACTGTTGTGGTGACTGTATAGTTAGGCTGTAGGTCTACGCTGTATGCCTGGAACTGTTGTTGTGACTGTAAAGTTAGGTTGTAGGTCTACGCTTGTATGCCTGGAAGTGTTGTGGTGACTGTAAAGTTAGGTTGTAGGTCTACGCTGTATGCCTGGAACTGTTGTGGTGACTGTAAAGTTAGGCTGTAGGTCTATGCTGTATGACTGGAACTGTTGTTGTGACTGTATAGTTAGGTTGTAGGTCTACGCTGTATGACTGGAACTGTTGTTGTGACTGTAAAGTTAGGTTGTAGGTCTACGCTGTATGACTGGAACTGTTGTTGTGACTGTATAGTTAGGTTGTAGGTCTACGCTGTATGACTGGAACTGTTGTGACGGTATAGTTAGGTTGTAGGTCTACGCTGTATGCCTGGAACTGTTGTGGTGACTGTAAAGTTAGGTTGTAGGTCTACGCTGTATGCCTGGAACTGTTGTGGTGACTGTATAGTTAGGCTGTAGGTCTACGCTGTATGACTGGAACTGTTGTTGTGACTGTATAGTTAGGTTGTAGGTCTACGCTGTATGACTGGAACTGTTGTGGTGACTGTATAGTTAGGCTGTAGGTCAACGCTGTATGCCTGGAACTGTTGTTGTGACTGTAAAGTTAGGTTGTAGGTCTACGCTGTATGCCTGGAAGTGTTGTGGTGACTGTAAAGTTAGGTTGTAGGTCTACGCTGTATGCCTGGAACTGTTGTGGTGACTGTAAAGTTAGGCTGTAGGTCTATGCTGTATGACTGGAACTGTTGTTGTGACTGTATAGTTAGGTTGTAGGTCTACGCTGTATGACTGGAACTGTTGTTGTGACTGTAAAGTTAGGTTGTAGGTCTACGCTGTATGACTGGAACTGTTGTTGTGACTGTATAGTTAGGTTGTAGGTCTACGCTGTATGACTGGAACTGTTGTGACGGTATAGTTAGGTTGTAGGTCTACGCTGTATGCCTGGAACTGTTGTGGTGACTGTAAAGTTAGGTTGTAGGTCTACGCTGTATGCCTGGAACTGTTGTGGTGACTGTATAGTTAGGCTGTAGGTCTACGCTGTATGACTGGAACTGTTGTTGTGACTGTATAGTTAGGTTGTAGGTCTACGCTGTATGACTGGAACTGTTGTGGTGACTGTATAGTTAGGCTGTAGGTCTACGCTGTATGCCTGGAACTGTTGTTGTGACTGTAAAGTTAGGTTGTAGGTCTACGCTGTATGCCTGGAACTGTTGTGGTGACTGTAAAGTTAGGTTGTAGGTCTACGCTGTATGCCTGGAACTGTTGTGGTGACTGTAAAGTTAGGTTGTAGGTCTACGCTGTATGACTGGAACTGTTGTGGTGACTGTATAGTTAGGCTGTAGGTCTACGCTGTATGCCTGAATGTTTTACAATGTTGAAGGATCTTTAGAAAGGATGTCACTGTTTTCTGTGTAGTACAATTTTGATAGATGGTGAAAGCTTTGTCTTTTTAGTTAAGATATTTGCTATTATGTACATGGGGTTGCTGTTCATGCGTTAAAATTTTTCTGTTAGGGTTATCACCTTTTCTTTCATTCGAAGGCTCAAGCTCTGGTGGCCTGAAGTTGCCTCAAGCTCACGGATAGGTGTGCTTCTCATACCTCCGGTAATGATTCTGAGACCAGTGTTCTGTATTTTATCCAGTTTGTGTAGACATTGTTGTCTGCTCTCAAGGTACAAAATAGGGATATCAATGCTACAGTGCACGATTTCAATAGAAGTATTCTTCAAGCTGCAAAAGAAGCAATCCCCAAAGGTTGTTGACACAACTACAGACCGTACTGGTCCAGCATACTTCAGGAATGTCGGGAAATAATGAATCAGGCTAGAAAGGATGCAGAATCCCAACCTTCACCTGACAACCACACCACATGGAAAAAGGCTGTAGCCGTGTTCCAGAGAACTAAACTTGAAGAAAAACGGAAGAGCTGGAGAAATAAAACAGCAGCTCTAAACCTTGATAAAGATGGCAAGAAACTCTGGAGATTAGCCAAATCACTAAATGAAGAGAGTTTCTCTCCTAGACAAACAATCACGCTAAGTGATGGTGACAAAATCTTCAGAGGAAAACAAGCTGCAGATTTGTTTACCAGAACATACAGTGTTGAAAGCAACCTGGCCCTTAATGAGGACCATCAGAGAGAAATAAGGAAAGAAATACAAACAAATAAGAGACAGACAGATACTCCTGCATCTATGAGGGAGCCATTTACCATGGGTGAACTACAAAATGCCATCTCCAGGCTTAAGTTTAAAAAGTCTGCAGGTCAGATGAAATCAGCAATGAAATGCTAATCAACCTGAGCTCATCTGCTAAAGTAAAGCTGCTGGAGATTTTCAACATCAGCTGGGAGAAAGGTTTAGTGCCTCAAGTATGGAGAGAAGCCATCACAATACCCATTTAAAAAAAAGGAAAAATTAAGACCCAGGCTTCGAGCTATCGCCCAATTAGTCTCACAAGCTGTTTAGGAAAGACATTGGAAAGAATTGTAAATTCAAGACTGAAATGGCACTTAGAATCTGAGCAGATCTTGATGCCAGAGCAGGCTGGGTTTAGGGAATGTCACAGCATAGAAGAGCAAGTCACCTACCTGTCATAACATAGAAGACCAAGTCACCTA